ATGTCAGTTACCACAACTGTGCTTAGCAGGGCAGTACTACGGTAATAGCTTATTCCCTATATGGGAAATTTGCTAAAACGAAAGTCTCCTTAGGTGTAACGTTTGTAGAGGACTCAACCTTTATAGTGACTTATGCATCAGTCTTATCAAAGGACAGGATAATTTGGGACATTATTATTTAATATATATCATTATATACTGCAAGTGCACGGAATGTAAAGGATCTATAGACTCAAACATTCTCTTACACTCGAAACAGTAATATCTAAAGAAAAACCTTCATTTTGTCATTATATAATAAAAAGAATTTTGGAGTTTAAATGTGTCAAACGTCTGGTAAATTGCCCATAATAAACTAGGAAAAACTGGACAAACTAAATCAATAGTTGTATAACGTTGATTATAAAATATCTATACAAAGGAAAATGTTTCAAAAGACAAATATTTTATGAAGTTGATACTATATTTGACAAGACTATTTGTAAAGTAAATTATGCAAGAGGATCAACAGAACTACTGCAAATACGAAATGTTTAATCTGCTGATGCTTTAAACAAGATTTGCAGAATTAACGAACGTGATTTAAGAAATTTTCTATCATCAATATGTGTCTCGGAAGAATGAAAATTTTTATTACTATAGCATCAAGGGATAATGTTAAAAGCAAACAAACCGTTAGCTCAGTAGTAATTTTTAAGGATTTTACATCATATAATATGTTTTAAATGTAATTCAATGTTACTATCACAATATATTTTAGCGGTCATTAGTGCAGCTTAGATATCGTGAACCGTTTAACCTTAAAGATAAATATCATAGTGATAAATGAACGAAAATTGTTTTCTCACTAATTAGCTTTTCTCAATTTTATCAATCAATCATTCGTCTGAATAATTTGAAATAGAAACGTAAACTTGATTGCATATGTTTAGCGTTTGGCAGAATACAAATGCTAGAAATTAGTATAGAATGAAGTGACATACTTTGCATGGCCTTGTTACTGTCTAAGATCAGCTGTTTTATTATTATTTAAGGTCGTTTATTGTTACAATTTTCAACACCATACATCATTAAACGTTGACATCATAAAAAAAACCTCGTGGAAAATTAAATTTTTCACACATAGAAATACAAAAACGATATAATGATGTTCAAATCAGACTTTTAAAAATGTTTTGTATTTAATAGCCTTAATTTTCTTCATTGGCCCAGTCACAAATTGTATTGAATAATGTATTACTAGCGTAATGTGATGCTTCTAATGCATAGTAAAGTTGTTATAAAAATTGTTAAGAACCTACTTCATTTACAATTTGGTGTTAAACATGATTTCAGACTTCATTAACTATGTAAGTGTGTATTTCCTGGAAAGGTCAACTAAATGGGCATTCCTTTAAACTGAGATAAGTGTAAACGGCACTTTAGTGAATTATTTCGTACATTGTTTTGACGGACGAAAAATTAAGTGAATTCATAAACAGTTGAATCATAAATGTATTTAATACATAAGCTTGAAGAGGTAACTTATGACTTTTATGGTACCTTCTTTTTTATTTTACTTCTGCTTAAGATTAGTGAAAAGTAAATGAAGTATCCTCTAGTTTTAAGATTTAACGCTCATTTATTCAAGTAGCTAAATTGTAAATAGAATTGCAAATTAAAGCAATATCGTCGAGGTGAAGGTAATATCTCATGCACCAGGTGCTTTTAACTTTCGTGTTCTTTAATTTAATCGTTTTTGTGATTTCTCATTCCGAAATACGGTGGTGCTCTGTTATAACTGATTGCTATTTTACGCATATACAAACAAAGACAAAGGAAAACAAATTCATCGGAGAATTTGAGCATTAATTTATTTTTACTATTTATTAGTGTTTAGAGGATTTTTCCTTAAAGAGTAATCTATTCTACATGGCCGCTACTTATAAAAAAATACTGATTTAGTAAATACTTATAATAAGCTCTAATAAAAATTACTGTAAAACTTTAAATTCTGTCATGGCCTTTTTTGTATCATATTATGAGCTTAAAACTACAAATAACTTCACGCTACACCTCAATGTATATTGTTTCTAGCGGGATTCATTTCAGGAGACTAAAAATTGAATTTATTTGTAGAATATTTGTTATTTGCATATAAAGTATTATTAATCAATATTATATATACGCATATATTTTGGTTATGGATACGAATTTCCTACTTCTACATTTTAAAATGACAGTCCAACAAAAACTGATTGTTGCTTATGTATTTTGCACAATATATTTACCTCTTTAATAGTTTAGACAAACTTGAATCAAATTAAAGAACAAGACATACGCCTGAGGTATCAAACAAACTCCCAAACAAACTTCCCTTAACTAACCACAAGCAAACAAGTACTAACTAACTACCTGAGTTTCTGGATTCCATTAATAATTCCTACGTTACAGTAGTGTATGATTAATAGCAAACATGTTTCATTTTAGACTCAGTGAACTCTTACATGAATAACTCAAGGCAATCATATTATTCATAGTATGTTCTTTTCTAACTCTCTAGATTTAAAAATATTTTGTAAAAAGTCTCAAGAATCTACATATATTATGGGTGTTTTGAACCCAATGATGAAGTACATGGCAGATGTAAATAATATTGTTTTGTCTAAAGTGGTTTGGAAGTAATTTATCAGGCTGAAAAGGTTATACAGTATAGTTATCAAGGACAAAAATGCATAAAGGGTGTTCAAAAAAGGTGGGAACATATTTTACATATTGATTTCTTGGGTGAAAATAAAGAGAAAATCAAATATTAACTTTTTTTTCACTTCGTTAAGCAGATATCCGCCATTTTGTATTTTTTACATAAACATTTTTATCTTTGGACTTTTTCAACCAATATTTATAAAACTTGGCATGTACGTTAAGGTATGAGAGACCCATTTTAGAAAAAAAATCTTGATTTAACTTAAAATTTTAAAATGGCAGCCATTTAAATCGTTTAAATTTTAGTACTAAAACGGCTGATTTTAAGAAAAAACTTCTAGTACACTTTTATTTAGCATTTGTAATTCCCTATCAAACGATACTAAGTTCAAAAAGATCAAATAATAAATCGCTGAAATATTACGATTTTTAGTTGTAAAATCAGGCAAACCTGACTTATTCTACCCCATTTTCAAAAAAAATCTTAATATTTTAGCTATTTTCTATTCGCTCTTTTTGAACTTGGTATCGTTTGATAGAGAATAAAAAATGCTAAATATATGTGTTTAAGACGTTTTTTAATAAAATCAACAGTTTTTTAGTAATTTAAGTTAAAAAAATTTAAATGGCCGGTATTCTGAAATTTTAAGTTGAATCAAGATGATTTCTTTTCTAACACGGTTCTTTTTTATATAAGCATACATACCAATTTTTATAAGGATTAGATAAAAAGTCGAAACATAAAATATTTATGTAAATAAATACGAAATTGCGGATATCTGGTTAACGAAGCGATTTTGGAAATATTTTTATACTTGATTTTCTCTTTATTTTCGCCCAAAAAATCTAGGTAAAATATGACCCTACCTTTTTTGAACAACCTGTATGCGGAATTTTTAGATGTTTTGTGATTTATTAGTTTAGTTTGTTACACCTTGAGGGTTTCTTCTTCTGTAGCCTATATGAAAACAAAATGATAACTAACGTTGTTTTATCCTGCACAACACTGTGTAGGATGTTAATATTATGACTAGTCTTTAAACACCTTTTTAAATTAAGGACTTTTGTTACAGGATTTTTGTGAGTAAGTTTTTAAAAATAAAATTTGTATTCGCTCCTTGTTCTAATTTTAGGTAGCTGAACAAAAAACTAATTACATATATATTTTAAAAGCTGAAGATTTACATACAGAGTAATTTAAAAGTTTTAGAATGGTGAAATATATCTTTTACCGTTATAGATAAAGTAATAAAACTTGGTATATCAATCAATAATAACCATAAAGGTCTACTCATTCAAGCTCATATTTTTTACCCCTTAATGGGGTTGGCCGACGTTACTATCCGAAAATTCTCAAAATAAATTCTCAAATAGCAGTTTTGGTCAAGTTTTGTATCAAATTAAATGTTGTAAAACACGTTGCCTCAAACCCGAACACAAATGGAAAACCGAGTCAAAAATGGCAGCCGTTTCAATATTTCTTGATTCTGCAATTTTGAATCCTTGAACGGCTGCAATTTTTACCCAGCTGTTACTTTGAGGTCAAACCTGCGGCAAAGTATTCTAGTAAAAAATACCTTTAATGTGATATGATCTGAGAATAAACTTAAGACTTAATAACCTATGCTAACTTTTATGATTTTCTTCCAACTTATAGCGGGCACCTGACAGTGTATTAAGCATTGAAAATTTGTACAGCTGTCATTTTTGACTCCATTGCTCATTTGATATCGGGTTTGCGGCATTGTTCTTACTAACAAAATTGTATACCAAACTCGACCTATGCTGCTGTTTAAGAATTTCACTCGACTCCTCGTGGGCCGTCCCCCTTTAGGGATAAAAAAGTAATTAAACCTCAAAAGAGTAAACATTTATGGCTTTAATTGAATAACCACGTTTCATCCCTTCAATCTAAAATAGTATAAAATATATTACACTATTCCAGGACTTTTCAATCACACTGTATAATTAATTTTGCATCACATAATAACAATTTTAATTGCTAGCTCTCTCGTTATAAACCTCTAAGATGACTCTGTGACTGATAAGAGTGCAAAATAATATTATATTACCCCTAAAAATCCACCGGTGTTTTAGCCAAGACCGTATTAAACTACAGTGCACAAAACAGCTGGAGTAGTTATACATCAAATAAATTATGTATTTTCAGGTATTACCATTGATAAATTTGACGCTCTTCAGCCACTCTACAAATCTGCTTTATGGAAATCAATGAATGCATCCATTGAATGCAATTGCATTCATAATGCACAATGCACCTGACAATGACTATGACGCCAGTGCAGTATGACAACAGTTACTTTAGTGATCGCCTGGGCGGTGGACTATGATGATGTGAAATGCTAAAGAGCCCATGACTATGTATGAAGTTGACCGCACCATGACCCCCGTAACAGACACTATCACCACGGTCCCGGCTCGAGACAGCTGCATGACCACATAACAGGTCAGTTTAGTAATTATTTGTAATTTGGAGCTTTATTTAATTAATGCATACATAAATTAATTAGCCCGTGAATAGGTCACTGTGTGACATAATAATTTCCGGAAAGTTTATATTGTCACACTTAAACAACCAGTTGAGTAATCGCTGAATTAATATTTAATGGTTTGTCATTAAACATACTAATTAATTTAATTACTTTAATTACTCATACTAGATTTATTTTTTCATATACAATATACATAACATTCACTCTATCAAAAATGTTTAATAATACAGCAATTATTTCTACGTAAACCTATATTTTATTATAACTACATATTATCTTTATAATTAATTGATGATGTTATTTTAGTCATAACATGAAAAAAGTGTTGGTTTTGTACGAATACACGACCACTATTCTACCTATTATATCCACGAATCAATAGTTGATTTATTTACGGAAAACTCAATTTTACATGTTTATACAATTATGGCAAAACTTTACATTTCAGGATTAATACATCTCATACATAAAGACAGAACAGAAAAAATGGCTTATATAAATATATATCAATATCATACTACAATCAACAACAATATATAACAATAAAACAATAAATAAGAGAAACAACAAGTTTTGTATTTAGCTAACAATAATATAGAATCAACAACAAATAACAGTAGAAAAAATCTCTCAATGATTGACAACAATAACAAGCAGACTCATCAAACCTAAATCAACATAGTACAAAACAAGAAAACATGTAAAAGGCTACGTAACAAGTAAATGATTGAGCATAAATACAAAGATATAATAACCAAATATGACAAGAAATATTTATGGTACTACACATAATAACATTTCGATAACAAATCCATTGTTTGTACCTTTCATTGCCAAGTAAATACAGTTAGGGTGTGAGGAGATAGAGTGAATACAATTGAGTGAATACCCAGTGGTGTAAAACATTAGCTATACGTTGAAAAAAACCAATAATTGTCTGGTTATTTATCTTATTTTATCAAAGATGAGTCTGAACAGTTTTGTTTTTGAATTGTGTATTATAAAATAAACCTAAAACTTATGGTTTTGTTATAATAATTCATGCTACAACCTAGTATTGTAAACAAAAGTCTTCTAATATAATTTTGTATCTATCGTACAGTATATATATTTGTACCATTATAAATTTCGTCTAAATATTTTAAGCGTAGTTATACTTCGAGTCTTGTGAACGAAGTAAGGACGCTGGTAGATAATAAACGTATTTTATTGATGGTATAGCATTAAAAAGGTACTCTTGTTAAAAACGAAATGGATCATGGAGCCTAAAGACTAGTTTTTAAATATTTTTTGTTTAAAGTCAACTTTATATGAAACCCGAATAATATTTTTAGGACTTTGGAATCTAGAATGCCAAAATAGTTTGACAGCTATTTAATTTTACTAAATTTAAACTAGGATTATTATTGGTTAAAAATATTTATAATTATTGAAGGTAATGTGAAACATTTTTCACGTGGAATGTTTGCTTACTCGTTGCAAAAGAGTTGTTGAACTCTTATGCCTTTCATTGACGTAACACTAGACATTGAAACCACATAATAAATTAACACATATACATAAATTACCTTGAATGTCTGTCTCTTAACAAATACTTGTGTAAAGCCTTCGCCAAATACAAAGAAGCATTACCACAAACGAACTTTGAGTTTAATACCAACATTGAGTCTAACAATGTAACAGGCAGTGTTGCATTTTATATAATATAGATAGTATTATAACAGGTTTTCTTGTTAGGAGGTATCTAATGTATTTGATTAAAAACAATGCTTCGGTGAACTAAGGTTGGTTCAGTTTTACAATATTTAACCATAGATAAAAAATACTCCTATGTTGTACTTAAGAAGTTTTACCTTGTGTTGCTTAGTCTATGATTTAACGTAATATAAATTTAATATACCTTCTTAAACGTAACAAATTGTTAAAGCAATTAAAAACTCATTTTAAACAAACATTTCTTAAATTTGAAAACTTTTTTTGGACTTTATTTGACCAGTTATTCTTAGTTATATTTCAAAATTAGTTGTATTAATTTTAGTTTCTGTTTGTTTTCAGGGAACAAAACAAAGTGCAGTTAGCCAACATCTATCAGGAGATTTTCTCCATTCGTCTCCACACAAATTGGAATACCATAAATTTAAGGTACGTATAAACTTATTGATACTACAGGTCAAGAAGTGTTCGGAAACTATACTAAAAATATGCAATGTACAGATTTCCCTTTTTTTCACCCTACGCTGTAAATAAAACATACGATCGTAATTATTCAATTTCTTTTGATTTTCTGTGTATATTTTATTGTTATGTCGTCACTAGTATGGTAAACCAATGGGCCCATGTTAATTTGTTTATACATTTAAAATTAATTTCATGTAGTTATTTTTGAACCTATTTTAATTTAGAAAGAGATTCTGCTCATCTCCAGGAAAATGATTTTCTAAAAATATACGTAGATTTTTCTAGTGATGCAATTCAGCTGAGAAAAAAAGTTTTCAAGACACATGCTAGCCTATTAGTATAGTAGGATTATGGTATGCATGCACTTATTATCGCAAAAAATTGAAACCAAAGTGGTTAAAACTTTCATTGTTTATACAGTATTGTTTAGTAATGAATTGTTCATATCAAAATTGTAAATTTTTTGGACCGTTGGTAGCAATAAATAAATAACCAATTGTGTTTACAAACTTGATGAGTTTAAAGAGCTTTCTTAATTATTTGTTATAGCAAGCAAGTGTATCACTTAAATCGTAAAAGTATGAGTGTATTGGTATGAATGATTAAAAAATATTACATTTGCGTTTCTTGTAACAAAGATAGTTTTAAGGTCATGCTTTCTTTCGACGATTGGCTATCTGTAAAAGTATACTTTTAGCTATGTTTAACCTAAAGTTATACTAAACATAAATTTTTCTACAAATATGTATACAGTACGTTGTGAGTACCAGTGGTATATTTATTTAGAGCTTATGACAAATGATCAGGGGGATTTCAAGAGCTTCAAGTCTATATTCAATGAAGACACAGGTTAGCTGAAAAGTCACTACCTATTTTTCATTATTAATTGACATTTTATGGTGCTAGAGAAAAAATAAAGATGTACATTTAAACATTGATTAAAGCCATTTATTGTAGAACACGTTAAACGTCGTTATATGCACTTGCATTTTCAACACATATTCCTAACAGATAAATTTTCAACATATTTTCGAATAAAGTCTTGTAGAACATTACCGAGAAAAACTATAATAGAAATTTCCAATTAATGTAGAGTCTTTGGATTCATTCTGTAAGCCTCTTCTTTTGCTCATCCCCACGAACAAAAATCACAGGGCGCAAATGTCTGGGCTACGCGTAGGCCAGTGATGTGAACTACCTCATAAAATCCATTTACCGACGAATGTTACATTGAGCTAATCTCTAACAATATTTTCCCTCCATTTTGCACTCTCTACCAATTCTTGACCTGAACAATAGCCACACTTCACTAACAAGTGTGTTTAGGCCTGAACAATAGTCACTGAAAAATTGCTTCACTCCATATCGTGAGGCAATTCTTGTCCTTTCCTCAATACTTACACCAGCCGTAATAGCAGACTTAAAAGCTTCCATAAGTTTACAATATGAACTACCATTAATTGCATCAAATTATCTTCAATCATCTGACAATGTGAGCTACGAAAACAATATGGTGTTTTGGTGATGAACATTTAAAATTATGTATAGACTTTTCAGCCACCCTGTAGATTCGTTTTTACGTGGATATTTGAAAGGGTTAGTGCCATGCACGCCCGATCCGCATTCCTCTGAAGGTCTTTGACTGTAGAGACTAATTTGCAAACAAAGACCAACGTACTTTCACATTACTTATGGTAGGATTTCAAAATGTCTTGACCAATACACGTTGTGATGAATAATCTCAAATTTTTAACTTTCGGTAGGCCGTATCATTAGTCATTCCATTAAAAAAGTTTGCCCCAAACAATCTTAAACGTAAGAGGAAGTGTTGGTTTTTACATTTATAGCAACAATGATGCAGATCTGCTAGAATATCAGATGTCAACTAGTGGCGTATAGAGGCAATAGCCCCTATATTCTATTTATTATTTTGTACAAATTATTAGTTACATGGGTTATCATTTATTACCCTACCATGCATTATCATTTAACATTTTTGTATATTATGATATGTATAATAGTTATTACATACCTGCATAATGCATTTTGATGTCTGCACTGCTTAAAATAAAAAATTCCAAAGGACATGCGTTGTGTTTTGTAATATAAACTTTCTAATCATAATACAACTAAGGAACATTTTCCAATAACAATCGTCATTACCATTAATTGAATCTATATAGATTTCTTTATGTATAGACAAATTCACTTATAAAAACACATAGAGATAATGTCATCATCCAAATTGTAAAATGCTAATTGTATAACAAAATCTCTCTGAAACAAAATTTGATATATAGTATCCATTATGGTCTTTATTTGGTTCTAGTACTATTTTAACATCATCTGACCTCTTAACCCATCTAATAGCAACATAAAGTAGACCATGGGCAAACACTGGGTTTTTCAAATAAATGCCAACTTTTGAGGAGGCTCGGCCTTGCGCCACAATTTGTCCAAATCAAATTGCGCAATGCACCACAATGAATGTACCCATCGTTCATTGGTCCTACGCTGTGTTATTCAATATCATTTAAAAGTTGTAATCTATACACAGGAATAAATAATTCATGTTCATCCTATGCTCATTTATTCTTCTTCCATTAATATCGTGCAAAATCTGGTTCCTGTTGTTCTCATTTCGAGGAACAATACCTTTGCGTGGTAGTCTTCCGACATTATACATTATTACCGTGCAAAAGAACAATCCATTGTAAAGTATTAAGTTTAAAAGTATCAAATTGTTCTTTAACAAGATTTTATCTAATTTTCACTTTGTGTTGTTAACTACTTTACTAACAATTTTACAAAAACAAAATAATGCACATTCAGGTATGGTTATATTTTTTCAATTTATATAATTACAGCTGTGTTTACACTAAATAAAAAGGCATAAAATCAGATTCCCATGCTATTTAAATGTGAATTATTTTATTCGTAACAACCTTTTGGTGCATAATTAGGAAAATTTAATAAAACCTTTAAAATGATACCTCTTCCAGCTTTCTACAGCCTTCCCGTTCGCTCACAATTTCATTGTAAAATTTTTGAGTTACGGAATTAGATATATAGATGAGTTACCATATCACACAAAATAAACTCATAGCTAAACATATTTCTGTTAGCAAATCGTTATTCCATTTATTTTAGTTTGGTTTTATAACTTTGTTATTTTGTTTCAGGCAAAATGACGTCTTACATATCTGACTACTATAACTACATAGTTTACGAACAAATGGGTAAGTGGCAGGAAATAGTTAAATAATTTAATTTTTAGGTTAAAACCTCTACAGCGAAAAAAACTTAGCACATAAAAGTTGATGAATAAACGTTTTTAAACACCAGTTAAAAGCACTACACGCTCTAGATAATGTAATGAAACTGGAATATGACGTTCTTGATTACCTCTCTAAAAGCATATAACTCCTACAGTTAATAACGCTTTGACTGCACTTTTGAAAAAGAGTAATACCTAGTAGTTCCATTCTAAAAGAATAATTAAACATTATAGAGGGTGTAAGATTGATAAACACAAAATAATATTATGATCATTAATTAATTGTTCTTTATTACAACTTGTTGTACCAGCAGGTCTCATATACCTTAACATACAAATCAGACTGCATTAAGGTCGATTACGACTCAAAAGATACAAATTTACATGCAAATGTATATAAGAAATACAAAATGATGGATATCTGGTTAATGAAGCGATTGTGCAAAATTGTTCATACTTGATTATATCTTTTTATATATAAAACCATTTCATGGAGTTTGGCTGTTTACTTACGTTACACTCTGTATATACTGTATGGACGAAATTACCTAAGAGGACATAAAAATGAAAAAGTCAATCGGTCCTGGGCCTAGATCATTCCGTGCCACCCTCACTAATAGCTTATACCCTATTGAGAAACTCGCTAAAAGTAAATTGATCCTAAATGGTAAATTTTGTAGGTTTTACCATGAGACCTACATTAATAACTTATTCCGTATACGGGAAATAAAAAAAAATTGCACCATATACAACTATAATTGTGTTTATATGTGTTTAGATAATGAGCAAGAAACTCAGTTTATATGTTTAAACAATCTAATTATAGCTATTTTTACTTTTACCACAAACAGGCCTACTTCGCCCTGGAAAAGATGGTAGTAAAAATAAACAATTTTCCTAAGTTTTTAATTTAACCACTATAATTTCAGATCAGAGAGTGAAGGCGTACTACTTCATGGGATCTCCTGTTCCCATCCTGCTTCTCGTAACGTCATATCTCGTATTTGTCCTGAGACTCGGACCGTGGTTTATGAAGAACAGACCTCCGTACAATGTGGAGAAGCCTATGATGCTATACAATATTGTACAGATGGCAATTAACCTATATTTTGTACTCGTGGTAAGCAATGTTTGTTTTTGTCGTAAACAATTCTTGTACAAAATGTTTTATACCACTCCTTCCCTCATAAATGGCTGAACTGCAAATCCATATAGTTATCTGGCAATTACGATAATCCCTAATTTGAACTTAACTGCGATAAAAATTTATCTCAACAACATTTAAATTTGTTGAGGACTTTTTACCCAATAGCTTCCTTGTGCTTTTGATCGACTTTTGTAAATCTTGTTGAAATGTATAGAAATTAAGTCATTTAGTATACTTTTTGGTAATTCGTTATTATTACGGTATACTAAAGTGTGTAATATGGTTAATAAATAGTTTACTGCCAATAGTTTATTGTTATATAATAGTTATGATACACCAATGATTAATTTCAATGTAACATGTGTGGCTTGGTACTTTTTTAATCATTTGAAAATGTGGTTTTGGGTACCAACTTATTATTTTATTAAAAACAACAACATTAGTAACATTAGAAACATCTTATTACTATTTATTAAAGGACCAAATGTTTTTAAAACTGTTTGTAAAGGAAACAGGTAAGATATTTTTTTTGAATTATTTTAATCGTCCTATAACAATATAAGTTTGACATCCTCTGGAAAGCCCTTTATCATTTTGTTAACAATGCAACTAATATTTAGTTATATTTTAGTTTGATTGTAAATTGATTTTTCTCCTGTTTCAGGCCTGTTTATATGTGTGGCTACCAGGCCACTACAACTGGATTTGCCAAAGACCCATCTATGAGCCAAATCCGGTGGAGGATATAGTAAGTCGATAGAAATATCGTAATAAGCCACTTTAGAAAATTTTAGCTAAAAGGAAATGAAGTCCGAACACCACATACCTTAAGCAAAGATGGAATTAAAATACAGCTATACAGATATGTAATAGAAAAAAATTGCTGTACGTTAGCTCTTTACTCAAATATTTTAATTTTAAAGCATTTTCTTAAGGAGATAACGCTTCTGAAATATTCTGATGATCAGCCCACTTTTACCGCGAAATAGTCGGAATAGATACATAGATAGATATTTTACCAGAGTGGATACATATTTGATATACGGGTGTTTCCTAATTGTATGGACATATTTTCTGGACTTGTTCGTAGGCAAAGACAAATATAAAATGCCACATAAGTATGGTTTAAATGCCTAGATTTCTTTTTGTCGGTCTGTTTGTAATTTGGAAGAATTATTTTATATTTTGGGCATTTTTTTTTAGATTGAAACTTCCATATTGTTTAATATTTGTTATTTTACAGAGCAGTAATGGTAGTCCTATTAAATTGCGTAACCGAATGTAAAAAAAAACTGACAACTTGGTTGTGTGTCATCCGATTTTAACAAAAAATTTCTCATTTGATTTTGAATTAAATATTATATCCTTTTCATCCGAAGAACAGTTTTCTTAATATTTACGGTTTTTATGAAATTTTGCATTAAAGATTTCAAATGACCGCCATATTGAAACGGCTTGGGGTATTGAAACGAAACTTTGTTAGATCCTTTTAACTACTAAAATACACATTTATATAGTTTTTCCTACAGTTACCTAACAATGTACATGTTCTCTCACTGATTTGAGAAAGCAAAGTGGCCAATTCGCTCATCAGTGAGACAATGTTAACATTGTCTCACTCTAATTACTTTGTCTCACTCCAGATTTGCAACGTGAAGGCACGGAATAGTGAGCGCGTAACATGCAGGCAACGTCGTATGCGCGCGAAATACGTTGGCAGCACTGGCAGCTGGTCAGCTGTTGTACTGTTGTATTTGTAACTTCACATTAAATGTTATATTAAAAGTTCACTTCTGTGAAAAATAAGGTTATGTTTCTTCACAAATTTATTTGTTTTATGGTAACTGTAGGAAAAGTATAATGTGCAACTCGAGTGCAATGTACAATTGCCTCACTCGAGAAACCATTCCTCACTCGCCTACGGCTCGTGAGTAAGGGTTTCTCTCGAGTGATTCCACTAGTTGCACAAATAACTATTTAACATTTTATCTAAAAACATTAACAGATATAAAGTAATTCTTAACAATCACGAACAGGCCGACAAACAGAAATCTTGGCATTTTAGTTTTAGACCCATCCTCATATGGCATTTTAAGTTTGTCTTAGCCCAAGGAACAAGCCAACAAAATATGTCCAGACAATTTGGAAACACCCTGTATAAGATCAAACTATGGAGAGAAAGTGTTAAGAAATGTTGTAGGTTAAATGCGACAACAATAACTTGTTGCTCGGATCTAAAGAAGGTTGTTGATTTGTGCTGGTTGGCGTACTTAATTTTTGGAGCATTATTTAATGGAGTATTGAATGGTCCGCGTGAAAGAAGTTGGCACAAAAAAATATGCACTTGATTCGATTGTAAAGGTTTCAGTTTTGGTATGCCTTGAGATAATTTTTATTGGCAAAAGCTCTTAAGAACATGACATTTACCCGTCATTTAATGTAAATCGAGTTTAAATCAAGTTCAATCTTGTAATATTATTCAATCGTTTTTATATATAGGCCTATGTATATGATTTCAGGTCGTGGGAAAGTTCTATTTGTTCATGTGTTCAAGGATACTGGACTTGTTAGATACTGTAAGTAGAATTTGATTTTTACACTCTAAAACTATGAAAGTCTTGTTGAAATAAAGTATTTGTTGTATGAATTTTATGCATAAGTATAGTGCATTTAAGTATAGTGTTTTTTATCTGTTTTGGACTAAACATTTTTAGAATTTAATGCTTACATATTTTTTTACACTTAGCAAATACATTTTATAAGCAATATAATCTTAATTTCATATAATTGTTTTGAACTGAAAACATAACAAATTAAGGACGTGTCTAGGTTTTCATGGTACTAAAGAAGAACAACCATCAGATTTCATTCCTGCACTTATACCACCATACTTTCGTGGCAACAGCGTGTTGGATTTGCGTTAAATACATGCCAGGTAAGATCCTAATATGTAGAAAGCTTACTTGATATGCAATTGCATTAACCTAATTAGATTATACACTTTTTATTTGGAGTGTGTGTATGATAGTTACTACTAAATAAATTTAGTAGGATATGAATAAGTGATGTAACTAAGATCACTTCAAAGTTCGAAGAGCGAGCTTATCTAGTAGTAGAGTGTGGGACTTCGGTCTCTGAGGTTCCGGGTTAAAATCCCGTAAAAAAACAAATACATTTTACCTAAGTGATAATGCCGCAAACCCTAGGTCTAGCCTGTAGTAATGTGAAAAAACCATCTCGAGCTCGTGCTTACTGTCCTAGGACAAAAATAACACTTGAAAATGAAATTTTTTTAAAATAAAAGAACCCATAAATGATTTCTATATTTTAAAATATTTAAACCCACTAAATAATCGAATTACTATAACGTATAATTTTTTGCTACTAAATACGTATAATTTTCTTAAAATATGATGTTATCAAATAACACATTGTATTATTTGAAAGTATAGTCTAATTAGTTTTCGTTGTAGGCCTAAGCCTGACATTACTTAAATATATTTATATCAATAAAAACATTAGTTAAGCCTACATAGTTATCTTCAGTTGTCAGTTATATAAGTCAATCATTATTTTCATTGACACTATTTATAAAACTTAAAACTTAACATCCTACTATTATTATAAAAAGTATTTCTGAAATGGAACACAGTTCGGAATTCTAAACAAAGTCATCGAAAATACAACACATTAATTGAAAAATAGATGATTTTTCCGTGCTTCGTAACAGAAAGACCACTGAAGAAAAACCTTTTATATTTAAAACTGTATTATGAAATAGTTACACAGTCGCCTTGGTTTCAGGAAAAAAATTAATATTGGACCTCTTAGTTTGAAAAATTATCTTTCCTTAGCTAGGATAACTTATAAGGCTACCTAGTATGAATTATATGAGGCGCTGATGCATATATGGAAATACTGTACCACACATTTAAATTTTATGCTTACTTAAAAGTTTTTTTTATGAAAAAGGGTTCAAATTAAGTTAACAGGTTTTTTTTTTTGTAAATAGTGTTGGTTTACGAGTGTTTGTTTGCTTTTTAAATTTCTTATAACCGTTACAGAAAAATAACATATTAACAGCGAACGACGTTTTCATTAGTATGCAATGATCCTCATGTAAATGCATAATTAAACTAGTTGCAAAAAAAACTATTGCTAATGGAGATGTCATTTTATACTATGTATGGCTCAAAGTTATTTTTGTTACAGGTGGGCAGCCTGCTTTTTTTGGAACACTGAATGCATTTGTTCACGTTGTCATGTACTTCTACTACTTCCTCACGGCCATCGATGCCTCGTATAAAAAGTCAATTTGGTGGAAGAGACACATCACAGAACTGCAACTGGTACGCTTTTACTTTCTTATTAGTTATTTTAAAGTACACAATTACAAATGCAATAAGAATATACGTTCCAATATGCTAAAGCGTATTGAGCGCAGCCAATTAAAATGATAGTGTGTTTGTTGGCCGTAAAAAAGTAACTAATGAATTTGAAATAACAAATTCTTTTACAACATGAGGTAAGGTGTTATAATTATGAAATGAAAATAAAATTTAATATGTAACCATACTCATTATTCATTAAAAAATCTAAATAATCTTACAAATACACTGGGATATTTAAAAGATTCCTTAATTGGTAAAACTAGTAAAAGAAACATTAGTAGATGTCAATGTTAAATAGAAAAAATCAATTTCTAGACATCATTATTTAAAAGAGTGATATTGCAGTTTAGCTTAGTATTGATATTTTTCTTGCTATTTAAGAGAAATAATTAAGTCAATTGACTTTATTATAAAAAGCTAATGAGAACTACCAAAACATCTGTCATAAAAATAAATTGTTTTATCTACAACATGAATCTAAAATTATAGATTTTGATTTTATGATTTTAGTATAGTAACAGACGATGCATTATCTCAATCAATGTGTAACAAGTAAATGTTTGTTGGTGGTGTAATTACGTTTTTAATCATTCCACTGTCATTTATTTACATATTTTAAATATATTTTGATAATTCATGGTTGTGTATCAAAAATTCAACAATCAACAAATTTTTAGTTTCGAGTAATAGAGTAACATAAACTAGAGTTTATTTATTTCCCTAACTCTTCAACCTCCTCTTTAGAACTTACCTCTTTCAAGATAATAACCGATTCCATTGAATTAATTGCTCGTAGTTAATAAAATGACAGAAAAATTTGTTCATTTTGAGAGTGATTGTCTACTCTTCTTTTAAATAAATTAAAAAACTTGTATTACAATTGATGGTTTTAGCCCCTAAGTTGTAACCTAACTGAAAAAAAAAAATACTTCGTATTGTTAATATTCGTGTGTGTTATATGTTTTAACTTCAACCACGCTAATTTAGCTTAGATCTATTACTGATGGGGGCATTGTGGTGCCCAAACGGCAGAAACCTTCCGTTCAAACGTTTGAACTGGGTGACGAAGGTACACCCTACTTTTTAAGTTTGAACACCAATTGATACTTATCCATTAATACAGTAAATCTTGTTGTTTAGGCCCAGTTCTTCATTCTTCTGGTACAGCAACTGTACGCCATCCTCAGCCCGACTTGTGATTTTTCGAAGTATCTTCTAGCTTTCTTCCTTAGTCAGGCAATTCTCATGATCTACCTTTTCAGTAACTTTTACTACAATGCTTACATAAAAAAGCAACCAAAAAAGACAAAAACATCATGATAAACTGTAAATAAAATAGTTCTAAGTTTGTAGAAATTTTTAATTTTCCTTCATAACACGGACAAAGCTAATTTAGGGATTGCGCAATGGATTACCGGTAAAAAAAATAATATTTGGTGAAATATAGTTTATTGATGGTTAACTTTAAATTCTAATTTAAAAAAAACCGAACCAAAAGTATGATTAAATTACTTATATATAAATAAATAATGTTATTTTATTTTTTGTAAATCTAAAAATTAAACTTTTTGAATAGAATGAATAAGTTTAAAATAAAAACACATCAGAGTAGTTTATGATGAAACATAAACTTACAAAATGTATGTACTTAAGGCAAAATAACACTTTAATTTTGTGAGATAGCAAAATAGTAGCCAGAACTACTATCAGCAGTCTGATTGTAGACTCGCTGACGCAGCTGCTCCTGATTGATGTTGATTGCTGGCTCCAATCAAACGCTGACCCTTCTATTGGTTCGTTACATGTTCCGTACGATTTCAAACATTTCAAATCATATGTTTTATAAAAATGAATTTGTAACAAACTCCGTTTTGAGTAGTATATCTCTATATTGTAAATAATGTTTAGCCAGGCTGCAAAGAACTTGACATCGACTCCGAGTCACTCCTCTGTAACTTTAAGTTAAAAGTTCTTAGCCACTTAAGTACATATTGGCTTGTAAACCAAATAAAAGACAATCCACAAAGGAAATACCTACGACTATTAAGGTTATGAATCATAATCTGAAACACAGCCTTTTGAAATATTCGCTGAATTTACCTATTTCAACTAGTTTTTGTTATCATTTAATATCCACTAACATTTAAATACATCAATACCGTAAGGCACAACTCAGAAGCGTTCAATAACTGTCAGAATTGATCATGTCTCAAATAAATAGTAGAAAAAAACGGTTAAAAGTATGGATGGGGAATATACTCTTAATAACTTATTTTTGATATTAACTTATCTGAATAACTTATCTTGTGTCAAGATGGGATGATACGAGTACAACACCCTTGATTTTACCCTACAAGATTATGAGAAAGAGAGATTGGCATCAGCTTTCTTAATCACTCTAATATCTCTATTTAGTTGAAATTTCACTATGTTAGATATATTAATTCACAAGGAAGCATATTACCCTGTAACGGAGTTAACCAGGAACGATGAAGTTAGTATGCAGAAGCTGTTTGTTAGTTCTGCTTAAAGATACAACAATATGATCTTGATTCGAGGTTTGCAAGTATGACTTTTAACAATGGCCATTCTAGTGATTGTAGTTTTTAATAAACTTAAGGATACTACTTTAAGTTTTAAATTGGCCAACACTACCTAAAGGTTTGCCTTAGCTAGCAAAGTATAGTATGATTAGCATAACTCTCCAAGTTTGTAATTCTTGTTGATGAGTTTTAAGCTATTAGTAAATCTGTTTAGAACGTTCCTTTTCACCAGTATACAAGTTAAATGGCATAGGCTTAAAATGTATGGCAACATCATCAAAAATATATATAATTGAAGAAAATAAACTTTTATAAGGCAATAGAACCAGTTACTAAGCCATTGCTATCGTAATTTTTTTTTTTTTTTTATACGAAGACCGAGTTAAATATTTAAACACATTCTTGGTAAATAAACCTTATTTCGGAATTTCTTTTTAACAATCAAAAGTTATTTGGTAACGATTGTTATCCGGGCTGTGGTGAGTAAATATGAAGTGTTAAATAACGTGGTTAGAGTATCATAAAAATTATTAAATATAATTGTAAGATAAATAATTAATTAAATAATTGTACCTCTGCACTTGATTACCCTTTTTCATTTCATCAACTTAACGTACTAATTATACGTAATTGTTTACGTAAAAACGTTTTACAGTGAATAATACTGGTTTAACCATCCAATACAAATCTTCTATACATATTTTAAGATATTTTTACCTAATAAGATGTCAACAGCTTGAAACAGCTTTCATCTAAAATATTGGCCCCTTGAGAGTGATTCTTTACTGAAACGAGCTCAAAATTAAATTTTTAAGCATGCAATCAAAACTAACAACCCCCAAGGGTAAATTCAATATCAGTAAATTAATTTAATAGGATCTCAGTAGCTGAAAGTCTATATCTGAATTTGTTTTATATTCTTTTTATCCTACGAGAATGTTAAGAATAATTGAATTTGGTTATTTAACACATTATTTAAACTACGAATTAGTCAAAAATACATTTATATAAATCCATAAATATATAGTAAACCATTTCAATGATAGCTTATTATACATTTTATTCTTTGTTTGAAGTACCTCATTGGATATGGGAAGTTTGCATTTTCTTAAAATGTTGATATTTTTATTACAGTAGTACAAAATGATAATCGAGTTTTCCAGCCTCAGCAGGGTTTGTATACATAAATCGAAGTATGTATTCCAAAACGTTGTGAGCACTCAGTTTTTGTTTACTTTTGTGTTGTTTTTACATGTAAGCATGAATTGTTTAACATATGTGTTGGTTAAATAGCTTATGTAGGTATAAACGATATATTACGTAGGTCTAAAATTAAACACTATTTAGCTCTTGACTTAACTAAGTATATTATAAATTAGCTACAAACGGTTCCTTTTTTTAGCAAATTTCCCTATAGGAAAAAAGCCATACTATTGTTCTTCTTGAAGCCTTACTAAGCTAGCCAAACACGTTTGAAAATACAAGGATGGTAAATATATACAAGGAATATACAGAGTGTTGAAAAATGTGGGTACATATTTTACGTATTGGTTCGTTGGATCAAAATGAAGAGAAAATCAGGAATGGCATTTTTTCCAAAATCGCTTCGTTAACCAGATATCCACCATTTTGTATTATTTACATAATCATTTTTATCTTGGAATATTTTCAACCGATCTTTATGAAATTAAGGTATGTATATTAAGGTAGAAAATACCCATGTTAGAAAAAAAAAATATCTTGATTTGACTTAACCTGGAGCAAAACTGATTAGTTTAGCCTTTTTCTACACCATTTAACAACTAAAAATCATTATATTTCAGCGATTTCTTATTCGATCTTCTTGAACTTGGAAGTGTTTCATAGGGAATTAAAAATGCTAAATATATGTACTATTGATACTTTTTCATAAAACCAGCCATTTTTTAGTAATTCAAGTCATAGAAATTAAAATGGCCGCAATTTTAAAGTTTTAAGTAAATTCAAAATGATTTTTTTTTCTAACATGGGTCTTATCTACCTTAACAACCATACTAAGTTTCATAAAGTTTGGTTTTAAAAACTTAAAGATAAAAATGTGTATCAACAAAATACAAAATGAATGTCTGGTTAACGAAGCGATTTCAGAAAAAAAATTTATCATGATTTTCTCTTCATTTTGTACCAAGAAATTACTAGGTAAAATATGTCCCCACCTTTTCTGAACATCCTGTATACAAGGATATAAATATAATTCTTAATAAAAACTTGCCGTAGATATTTTATTCGTTTAGTTATTTGTATATATTTATCACTTAATGTGTAGTCCAAGAATAAGGCATGGAATAACATCTTTCTTTTTATCTTTAAAGCAAAGTAAAGTATGAGTTTCACTGGGTCGTATTTTGTATGTGTTGTATATTCAAGCCCCAGCTGTGCGTAATATATTCGCTGGGTCGGATCAGGATATTGCAGTGAAACGCCATGGGGTAGCGAATGTATTCTTGCATAACCATTTCATAGCTCTAAAGGAAAAAAATATTGTTCTGTTTTTTACATTTTATTGGTGAAAGCAACCTAAGTTACAGTTATAAAATCAACTCTAAATCAGTAACAGCCAAACAGTACAATAAAAGAATGTTACATCATTCAACGTTTTAATTACCTAAAAGATAATAATCAGTTTACACCTGCAAGTTAAAACAATTTAAGTTAACCTACCATAAGACATTTTACTCACTATACGTTTTAAAACGTATCACAGAAAATATTTTAGCGGAAAAAACTATAATGTTCCCTACAACGTATAAAATGAAGGTATTTTATTCAATGATTAGGAATCATATACATTGCTTGAACATTTTAAGCAGAGCATGAAATGGAGTAATAACATTAATTTCACATGGCTAACGCTAATTGTATTTGGTTATTTTGGCTATATAAATTACTTATGACTTATGACTTAACATTGGGATTTTAACACCCTGACAAGTATAATATGCCTTACACACAATGTTTTACAGAATATCCAGGCATTTTTATTCTCAAGATACGTTAGGCAAAGATAAGGGTATTTGATATCAACAATATCTATTTAACAGTATCGAAATGTGTTTGTGTGTGGTTAGGTTAGTAAAGGTTAGTTTGTTTTAGATTAAACTGAATAATGCCGAAAAAAGAATCATCAGTCTAAATCAGTGATTAAGAAGAATTTATTATTTCGTATACAGTAAGGTTAGGTCATTTTAATTTGAAAGAAATTTGTAAATACTAAACAATATAAAAAGTCTAAACAAACTACGACAGCATATTTTATACTTTACCTAAAGTGCTAACAGTTATTCATTAGAATGAGGAGGCAAAGTACATAAATGCCTTTGTTGTATACCTTGCCTAATTCATTTTAAGCAATGTATAGAATGCCTACTCATTCTGTTTTAAGAATTAAGAAAATTCCTTCCATTGTACGTATATATATAAAAAGCATGTTGCTTTCAAGGCCTTATAAATTGGCATAATCTGAAAATTATTTAGGCGAAGCTTGTAATAAGCGATGGCAGAAATTTGCAACTCGAACACTTGGCTGCTTTTATAACTGGGATCATTAATCAAACTTAATTTCTTCATTCAGCGAAAATTAGAGTCCAAAGGGAGGGAGAAAAGGGTTTTGAATCCATTTATGGAATGAGTAATAACCTTTTTTGCACAATCCTAAATTGACCTGACAAATGTTCTTTTGTACAAGGCTTTATAAATAATGCCTTGCATGTTGTAGGAAAACATATGTTTATGAAAAAAGTTGCACTGTTGACTTAAACATATCAAA